AAGAGACAACCAATGCTCGGCAAAGCTAAATTGCTCGAAGTTCCTGTTCCAATGGTAACATACTAGTTTCTACCTTTTTCAGTTAGTGCCACTCACCTACTTGGCCAGTAAATAATAAGCGAAACTTTAAAATTTCGCCAGCAATTAGGCAAAGTGCTGTTGGCATTCTTATAATACTCCTCCGGTTTGGATTTGGTCATCGATGTATTGTTGTAACCACTGTTCATCATTAAATCTTTTTTCCCTTGAATCATTACTGAGTGATAGTAATGAGCTGAAGTCTGTTGGGGCTAAATCCGATGGATACGGAAGGTGCGGTACTACTTCCAGTACAGCTCCAATAGATTTTGTCGGGAATATAAGCAATATGAGGTCAGGCATTGTCATGGAGAAAAATATTTTTTTTGTCATGTAGACCGACAGAGACGTGAAACGAAATCACGGAGTGGTTAAAAACTGGACAAGAGTGTCTAACGTAGCACGGACGTCACGTGACAGAATTTGCAGTCATCAGTTCTTACTTTATAATTGGCTCTCGTACTTTCAATGAACACTTGAGAAAGCACTAGCATTACGTCGGATTCTAACAATTTTGTTCGACAGAGCATGAAAAGCATTCATAAGCTTGAGAATTAGGTCTTCAGAGTTCGTCCAGCAACGTAACGCAACGTAGGGAATAGGAGAAACCCCAGGTCAGCAATGTTGTGGTTTGTATATGAGGCGAAAACATCCAGAACCTCGCTCGCCGCCATAAGTTTTAATTAAGCACTTGCCTAATGGAGTAACAACCCCAACTCTCAACTCCCCCATCCTCCACGCCATCTCCCAATAGAATATTATATCCTACCTATTCGGAAATCGCATGAGTTGTGAGGCCTTGCCAGCGAACCGTTATTAATCGAATGGAATCGTAATGATAAAATTTATGGATGGGTAAAATCTGTTTTTCAATTTACTTCAAAAATCCACTGAAGTGCTAATTTTAGAAAGATCATATTAGCGACCGACCGATATAGGATATACGAATTTAAAGAGGTTAGAAGGAGCTAAATGTTTACGTGGCAGCATTTTTCGTGAAAATTACATAGCTTTAGTTCTCCTATTGGGGAGATTAGTCTACCAATGCCTACCAATGCCTACCAATACATTAGCGTGCATTCTTTCCTGTGGAAAGGATATTCAAATTGTCAACCGTACTGTACAACAGAGCAAAAATACTATCTGTGATGTGATGTGAATCGCTCAATTATTGGTAGTAAACCTTTGCTTTACTAGCCGTTCTGGCTAATATGCTAAGAATAATGCTAACCATGTCACAATTTTCCTAGAACTTTCATTTTTCTCATCATATAGTCTGTCAGATTTTGGCATTTTTATCGTTAACATCCTAATAATATTGTGATAATACTGGGAGATTACATTTTTGAATTTTGAATTTGAATATTTATCAACGATGCACCATATGCTGCGGCAATGGCGGATAGTACCTTGTGTTGAAAATAGTGGGACATCTTGCTTGAGCTGCACTCGGTCTTTCTAAATAGTTATGACCCAAACAAATTCTTACATTCAAAAAGGAAAGTAGATAAGATTGATAGTTAGAGTTTCAGTTGGCTCTTTTCAGTGTCCGTTCAGGTTTGGATCCAATATTTTGCATTTATCTATGCTAAATTAGGTATAAAATTTTGTTAACAAAGTTTAGATTGTTGCTGAGCACTCAGAGAAGCAAGAAAAGCCATGAAATAAATCAAATTTAGCTGGGAATGCCGCCGATGACGAGGATAAGTTAGCATTAAGCCCATTCACCATTTTTTGCAATTGTCTGCAACAGGACTGTATGATCAGATCACCCCCGTGCTTTTCTTTACCGAAATGAGACCCGGCATGGAGCGTGTACCCATCAATACCTTACATTTAAAATGGTGCCCAAGTGGATCAGAAGGAGGGACCCATCTACAAAGTGTTGCATATTTCCCAGATGCAATTTCTATGTTTTGATGTATGGCATTTATTTCTAGCATTTTTCTGTCGCATTTGGCTTAGATTTTTTTCCAACACTATCCATAATCCTAATCGGCTTTAACTCAATGCATCAAAATGAATTACCCACAACATGTGGGACATTTTCCAGGAAAAACGAGAGAAGCAGGGACCACCCTTTATTACGATCGCTTCACTTTGTTGTTCCCAAATAAATCAAGGAGGAAGTACTTACTTGTAAAAAGAGATGGCAAGAGACACCACTTGAGGATCCTGGCTATATATTTTCTCGATCTTCAGTATTCAATGTGGTTCGAGCATTAATTTTTCGTGGTCACAGTATTGCGAGTACTACCTGCATGTATAAAATACGAGCGCCCCGTTTTGAATAAGATAAATATACCTTCCAGGCAGGGGCGGATGGTCCTTAAGTTCTGCAGAGCTGCAGAACTGCCAAAACTTTTGTTTTAACAGAAAAAAGCAGTAGTAATTTGATCATTATTTATTTTCCATGTTATCGCACAAATATACTAAGTGACATATAAATCCGAACACCCAGTTTAAATGGTTTTATTTTAATAAAATTTTGTATAAGTACTTAATGAAGCATAATAAGTAAATGATAAAATTTTAAAATGATTGCACTGCTTTAAAGCCCTTTGACCTTTAATAATGTGTTGATGCACCCTGATGTGCTACGCATTCTCCAACGCGCCTAGGCATGCTTCTGATCAGGTGGTCAATGTCCTCCTGTGGTATCTCATTCCAGGCAACCACCAACTCCTCTTCGAAGTGCTTCTTGAGTCTGAAGAGGACGTTGCGAATTGAGCAATCTCCTACCCATCATATCCCACACGCGCTCAATTGGGGATAAGTCGGGAGATCTTGGTGGCCATGGTAACAATGTGACATCATTATGTTGAAAGAAGTCTATTGTGACTCTTGCAACATGTGTCGGGCATTATCTTGTTGGAAAGTTGGATCTGCCAGGGTGTCAAGATAGGGTAAAAGATGGGGTTCTAAAACTTCGTGGATATAACGCTGCGCATTCATGTTACCTCTTATGAAGATTAAAGGTGACCTGGAACCATAAGCTATAGCACCCCAAACCATAACTCCAACAGTGTGATGAACATGTCTTTCAACAAAAAACTGTAGATTCCTCCTTTCACCACGTCGCCTTCTAACCCTGGCACGACCATCGTGCATGCCTAAACAAAATCGAGACTCGTCACTAAAGACAATACTGTTCCATTCCTGATCCCAGAGTGACCGTTGTCTGCACCACTCAAGGCGATTACGTCGGTGTTCTCGAGTTAAAGGGAGGACCCAGTGTGGCCGGTATGAAAACAAGCCAAAACTTCTCATTCGTCGGTAAATACTTCGCGTGCCAATAGGTCTTCCGTGTTCTGCAAAACCATTCATTTGCAATGGACCTGGTAGTGGAGAAACGGTCCCTTAATGCCAATAATCTTAGGCGGCGATCTTCACGGTCTGTTGTTCTACGGCGGCGTCCAGTGCCCCTTGCTCTTTGCGTACGGCCTTCTCGAAGCCATGCCTGACAACACCTAACCACAGTGTCTACACTTCTTTGCAGTCTAACTGCAATTGCCCGAAAAGAAAGTCCAGCTTCCCGAAGTCCCACTATACGGCCCCTATCAAACTCACTAAGTTGACGAAATCGTACAGGTCTCCGTACTCTAGGCATCGTAACCGATCGTAAAGGATGTCAAGAACCAAAATCCGACAACGTTGATTCTTTACTGCGGCTGAAATATTATTTTTAGAGCGTTAGTGAATTAAAAAAAAAGCAGTATAAAAACCGGAATGTCCAACTGATAAGGCTGAAAATTTTTTCACTTGTTATTTACAGTAAGATAAAATACATTCACCAACTTTATTAAAATAAAACCATTTAAACTGGGTGTTCGGATTTATATGTCACTTAGTATATAAACAATACCGGCCTGCCCTCGCAAGACACGGCGTCGAGTCTGTTTTGCAGCATTTATAATCGAACCCAATTGTGTATTTGTCATTTTCGTCGCGACCGCAGCGTAACATTATTCATGGGCCACTTGAAAAGGGGCTGTGCACTACTTCGACACAAGCCGCACGCGCTTGCTTTTGTCTCTCTCTACAAAATCAAATGCGCGATTTAAGCATGACGTGGCTTAAAATTTGAATGGGAAACATTTTTTATTCAGGTATTTTGGGTCTTACGTTGAGTGACTAGTGACTCACTGACTGACTTGGCTGTGTAGAAGGGTAGTGCAAGACAAGAGATGAGGTTTACAGACTTATCAGCGTGAAACGATTCTGGAAATACACATTTGAAGAAAAAATTGAGCTGAAGGTGTCAGGTCGACCGCTGCCGGACATATTTATAGAAAACACAGGACGTTAGTCGGGCAAGGGCTATACGCGGCATTTAATTTGGAGATTTACACCAGAAATGTGGGTGCAACAGGAAGAATGCCCTTTTCTGCTTTCCTTGCATACTTTTCGGGGGTGACAAAGCTGGACGGAGATAGGTGTTACAGATTTAATGCACCTGAGTGAAAAAATTAAGAAGCATGAAAACTCTAAAACACATCTTCATAATTCGATGGAATTGGCTTTATTGGGACTCTTAACATCAGATCTCAGTTAGATTCATTATATTGATGAATATACAACAGCATAATGACACCGTTACAAAAAACAGGTACGTTCTATCAAAAATAATCTATTGTATAAAATTTGCGGAGCATTTGAATTGACGCTACGGGGCCACGACGAAACCGAGGGCTCCCAAAAACCCCGGAATATTTCGTGGACTGATTAATTTTTCTGTGAGCTGATACAACCTTAAGCGAACACATAAAAAATGCTCCAATATTTAAAGGAACTTCGAAAGAAATACAAAACGATCCTCTGGATTGTATTCTTGAAGTTGTCATGAAGAAAGGCAGCTTGCGGTATTCGCCGTATGTTAACGATTCTGTTTTCGTGTTTTGGTTAAATTTTTTCATCATGTCATGCCTCACGTCGACATGTTGTTCAACCAGTTGCAGAAGAGAAAAACCGAGCCAGCGCAAGTTAAAACGGCTATCGATAATTTTGAAAAATGTATTGCCGTTGTGAGAAATAGAATTGATGACATAATAAATGAATGCAACAAAAGGAGACGACCTAATAATAGCAGTCACGTTCACCGAGTTGCCGCATTAGAAGTATGCGACAATATAGTGAATTCTGCAAATGACAGATTTCAATTCAAAGATCATTTGGTAGCCGCATCCCTTTTTTCCCCGAACACTTTGGAGAATATTGTGGTAAGTTCCTGATGACAAGTTGGAAACTACCTGCTTGGATTATCCCGAATTAGAAAAAGTCCGTTTAAAGACAGAGTTGTCTGTTATTTATGCATGGAATGATTGCCGAGATTTACATGGAACTCTGTCTCTTTTAAAATTTTTTATACAAAATAGTTTGGAGGAAACACTAAAAGGAAACAAAAAAGCTATTAGAAACTATTGTTACAATTCCTATGTCAACGTCAGAGGCTGAGCGAAATTTCACAACATTGAAAAGAATCAAGACTTTCTTCGTAATACTATGATCCAGGATCGGCTTACAGCGTTGTCGATGGTGTCCATTGAAAAGGAATTTATTTCGACCATGGACAATTTCAACGGGAAGGTGATCGACAAATTTGCTGCCAAGAAGCAGCGCAGGATCGAACTGACATATAAAAAATAGGTAAGTTCCGATTTTCAGAATACCTGTTTTATTTTGCCACGAGCCGCCACTGCCTCCAGGGTATTTTTTCAGTAATCTGCAGTTGTATCGTGACCAACCCACCTTGTTGTACCGAAATGAAGCATGGCATGGGAGAAGTGACGAACAGTATCTCACTTAGAAAAGTGAGGGGGAAGTGGTACAGCTACTGGAAGAACTCTGCAACAGTAGTCTGTATATCTGGTAGGGGCAAAAATCGCTAATTTGTTGGTATTCAACCGCTTGAAGTAGATATCTTGCACCAGTTAGGATTTTAGTTGAGAGGTCCAGGAGTTTGGCTCCGTTATTTGTTTCAGTGGAGCATGGAGTAACTGTTCATCAATGTCTTATATTTAAGAAGGCATGCCCATGAAATATTGTGTATGTGGCTAGCGATAGACATCCATGATTAGGTTTCAACTAGCTGCATGGAGTTTCCTGCATGGGGTGGGGTGACTTAATATAAAAACTAAAGACGGTATTAATGTCATATTATTTTATTTCTACTGCCTCTTATAAATGCGTTTGGCTTCGGTTGTTGATCCTCCATCGTTCATTGTCACCACCTGAAAACAAAAATGTAAATATATCGCCATTAAGCTCATTAGAATCTGGAAACGAACAATTTCCTATTAGAAAGCTAAGCTTTTCGTAGATAATGCTAGTATTGGCGGATGTGCATACCATATGCATTCACCATTAGTAGATGTTTCCTGCAGCACTGACTTCAAATAGACCGAGCGAAGGCTGATGGCAGAAACACATCATTGTCACGTCACGTAAACTCTCAAGCAACAGAGCCCCTGTATAGTTGTATAGTTGAATAGCGGTAGGAGAGCTAGAATGTCATAATTTCATCTACTCTGGAGGCCTATAAACCGTGTTCTGAGCCCCCTTTGAGTCCCGGGGCCGAACGCACAGAGCATGATCTTAGATCCGCCCCCATAGGCAATCACTATATGTTAAGCACCGCTCATATATTTCGTAGCACTAGCCTTTTGACACTTACTAATTAATGCCCTAGGAAGTTTATATGCATATTATATATTTACAGAGTGTCTAGGAAATAACTAAAACACCGTACATTTTTTGGAAATAAAGGTTCTAAGAAAACTTTAAAAATAACAAAAGTAATTTCTCGATGATCGCAGATACGACCTTAAAATTATTGTGAATTGACGCTCTCACTAACTACGATTAAAATACGTCTTCCTGTAACTTTGTTTTATATCACTCAGATAATAATTGTATAGAAAAAGGATACCACCCGAAACAAGGTGGCCTTAATCATCATCAATCTCAATTCTTACAGTGTTTATTTCTTAGACTTATTAGCCTGTTACTCCTGTTTATAAAATCTATAAAAAACTTATAGAAACAATGTAAATTATACTTGAAGTAACACAAAACATCAAAAAAAACTATGTCAAGACCTTCAGGCTAAGGAATGCAAATGCCCTATTTATATACTCAAAGAAATACAACACCAGTTGAGAAAGGCAACTAAAAAATAGGACTAACTCAAATTCTGATAGCAGATTTCTATATGCTTTGTAAATCATTATTACTAAGCAATATCCAGCACTCACAAACACTTGAAGTTATTGTGACTCCTTTCAAATTATTTCTTACTTAAAATAATAACTCTCCTACAATTTTTAAATAAATGTGCATAGTATACAGTACGAGGCACATCCACCACTAATTCGAACAGAACTACCGGGTTTTCTCCACAAGAAATTTACTTAAAACTACTATTTATAAGCACGTTCCGAATAGAAAATAAGGACAAAAACAACCACAAAGAACCTTTTTTATTGTTACCATTGGCATTACATACAGGCTCATTCTCTGTTTGTATGCACAAATGACCTCTAAGCTTTAAATGAATGCTATTTGCCCTGGAGAGGGAATAATAAAGACGTAATTTCCCTACAAAAGACTGTTTACCTACCACTTCTATTCCGGTGTCAGTAAAGTATACACTCTGGTGAGGGACTTTGCTCTGCCGTCTGTCGGAATCGATTCGATTGTCAAGGTGTTACCGACCAATTCGCAGTGCTCTACAATTCAAGTACGAATAAAGTGATTAATTAGATGTAATTCGTTTAAATTCATCAAAGATAAGTTTATTTGGTATTGGCAATATAATAAATATTAGAATATATATTTTTTCGGAAACACAACCATGCATTTTTTATTTGCGCCCTTTGGAGCAGTCCTGGAGGCACCCATGGTAATTGGTATCTGGCAAGACACTAGCTGTCACATCTGTATAATCTGTGGTCATAAAGTAAAATCGATCTTGATTTTTTATAATTTACGATATTTTATACAAATGGCGTCAGTAAGTAGTTACCCTGTTACTTCCTAAGCAACGCAGATTACTATTCGGCACAAGTTAGTCCGTTTTAGACTAAAGCTGGCTACAAACATGAATAACAAAGAAATTAAATGGATTATGTCAGTAAAAATAAATTCATACAATTAGTCCATAGTCCTCTCAGATTTAACAACATTGTGATTTAGCCCTACCGCCCTACCGACTGCATGGCAAACGCGGCAACGCAGCACGGCGTTACATATTCGGAAATTAAACACGCACCGTCATTCAGTGATTCATTTATCCCTCGGCAACTCGAAGCCTATAGACGTACGCATGTTCAAGTTGTTCGGCAAGGCATATACATATATTCCGGTTTTAAGGCAAATGTACAAGAAAATCTATGATATATGAAATATGACTAATAGGTGCGTAGAATACCGGGGCTGGACACGTATAAATGCTAACAACAAAATCGATATACACTTTTCCCCTCCCCCTATAACCCCCAATAACCAATTTTCATTGCCAGCAACATTTTTTCTGACAATAATCAGGGTCCACTGAAAAACCGAAGTTTCAAAGATTTGTATTATTATGTTTTTGGCCTTCTACTCCGCCGCCACTGGATTTTATAAACAAGCTTTTTCGTCCTTGGCATTGTAGGAATCTTATATGCAAATTCCATCAAAATCCGAAGTGCACTTCCTATATTATAGAGGAGCCAAGAATTAGCGGACAGACAAAACCTACACACAGACGTGAATGGAGACATGGTTTTGTATATTATACATGTCATATAACACCCAAAAGCCATAATATCTCATTTTCGAAATTTTCACGATTACAATACTTCCTTGCCAACTGGCGTAAGGAGTCAAAATTGATGATTCTTGATTTCATTTTGAACACATCGCGGACGTACTTAATGACAACTGCTACATCACATTTATTGGACAGTTCAGAATTGACATTTACACTTACGCTGCATCGATATTCAGGCGCAATGTCTTCCTGAATCGCTTTCCCAACATGAAATTCGACCTCACTATTTCTTAGTGCCGATTGAGTGGTCAGTTTAATTTTATCTCCATTTACCTCTACGGTCAAAAGGGCTCTATCCTCGTTCGCGTGTTTAGCATGTCTTCTGGAATACCTATAATATGGGGTTTATAACAATTACTAAGGTAACATTATACAGGTAGTTCTGCATTCTTGTTCAGCAAACTATTTGGCCAACTGTGAAGATAAAAGTAAACCCCAAAAGCCACCAGAAGGTATTTTTCTCTAGTGACCTTTTTGATTTAGATGAATCAATAATCTGAATACAAAGGAATGAACGACATTTATCAAATAATAAAAACTTCTCCGCAAACATTCATGTACAGGATGGAAAATATTACTAATATGCTCCATCAATTTCTATATACAGTGATTTTCAAAAGAGTCCCTTTTCCAGATCAATTTAGCAAACTGAAATTCCGCATGGTGAAATTGGTGCATGAATACTATATTTTAGTGTAAAACTGAGTTCATAATTTCAAGATGGTGGCATGGCACCATCTCAGACCATTTTTTTCAATTGTTATCTTATTTAGAAGCTCCTTATGAGTGCTATGTAACCTTGGAATGTTAAACCATCTTTAAAAATGACGTACTAGCGTGTAAGTTAATTGTTTTTGCACATTGAATGGGTTATAACACAATATCTAACCATAAAAACTCTATAGTATATTATATCAATCTATTACTTTTGAGAGCGTCTATTTGAATGTGCAATAAAATGTGT